TCTGGGCCACCTGGAGGCGTGAAACCAAGCGTCTCGCTCGAGACATCCTCAAGACCTGGGCACGTGAAAACAAGCAATACGCTTGAGAGATCCTCAGAATTCAGGTCCGCAGGAGAGGACAATCTATAACACAAAACAAGCGTTTCGCTCGAGACATCCTCAACAAATTCTGAAAAACAAGCGTTTCGCTCGAGACATCCTCACATTTTAATTCGCCGGCCCTACGCGACTTCGTTATTTATCGCAAAGAAACATCGCCGGCCCTGCAGCCGCCAAAACCGGAGGGTAAACCTACTAAAAGAGAACCCTGGGCCTATGCCCTTTCCGGGAAAAAGACGAGGGGGGGTCACTACCAGTTCGACCCCCCCCCCACCAGTCCATCATGAAAAGGGGGGGTCACTACTGGTTCGAACCCCCCCCTCGAAAACTGGGTGGGGTCATTACCAGTTCGAACCTCGGGACAGTGGAGACAGTGCGACAGTGGTGGGGGCGTTGGTGAGGACAGTGGTGACGGTGGTGGGAACAGTGGGGACAGTGGTGGTGAGGACAGTGGTGCTGGGGACAGCAGTGGGAGATGTGGTGCGGACGGTGGTAGGGACCTAGAGTTGTTTGCTGGCGGTGAGCGTGGGAGGGCGGGGGAGGGGTTCGAACCGGTAGTGACCCCCCCGGTTTTCGAGGGGGGTTTTCGAACCGGTAGTGACCCCCCCAGTTCTGGAGGGGGGGGGGTGTTCGAACCGGTAGTGGCCTCCCCGTCGGTTTTCCGGAGGTGGGGGGGGGGTTCGAACCGGTAGTGGCCCCTCGAGGTTTTCGGGAGGGGGGCCTCCCGGTCTTCTGGAGAGGGGTCACTACCGGTTCGAACCCCACCCCGGGGTGGGGTTCGAACCGGTAGTGACCCCTCTCTGGTTTTCTGGGGGGGGGAGGGGTTCGAATTGGTAATGACCCCCCTTCGGTTTTCCGGAGGGGGGGGGTGTTCGAACCGGTAGTGGCCCCCCCCTCGGTTTTCCGGAGGGGGGGGGGTGGTTAGGGGAGGGGGGGGAGTCCCAGCAGGGGGGGGGATTTTCGGAGGGGGGGGGCCCCCGGGTTCGGGGCGAATTTTCCACAGTAAAGCGGCGGTGGATCACACTCTCTCACATATATGGTCCCGGGCTCTGGGCCCACGGGCCCCCCCCCCTCCCCCCCCAGATGGTATGGTCCCAGGATTCCTCGGGCCCCCCCCCCCAGATGGTATGGTCCCAGAGACGACGACGACGACGACGACGACGACGACGACGACGACGACGACGACGATGACGACGGCGACGGCGACTACGACGACGGCACGACGACGACGACGACGCGACGACCACGACGACGACGACGGCTGCGGCGGCGACGACGCCGCGCGGCGGCGGCGACGATGACGACGATGACGACGGCGACGACGACGATGACGACGACGACGACGACGACGACGAGGACGACGAGGACGACGAGGACGACGACGACGACGACCTCTGAACCACCACAGCACCACACCACATCCACAGGGGGGGGGAGGGGGGCACCGCAGCGCAGCACCACGCCACGCCCACCTCTGAACCACCACAGCACCACACCACATCCACAGGGGGGGGAGGGGGGCACCGCAGCGCAGCACCACGCCACGCCCACAGGGGGGGGCGGGGGGGACCATCGCGCGGGGGGGGGGGGGGCCAATGGCATCAGCATTGGGGGGGGGGGGGGACCCAAACCCTGGACCATCTATGTATGCCCTTCGTGGCCCCCGCTCGTTCGCGCCCGTGGTGGCCCCATATGCATGCCCTTCGTGGCCCCGCTGTCGCCCTTCGTGGCCCCCTCGCTGCCCTCCGTGGCCCAATATACGCATGCCCTTCGTGGCCCCCGCTCGTTCGTGCCCGCTGTGGCCCCATGTGCATGCCCTTCGTGGCCCCGCTGTCGCTGGTTGTGGCCCCCTCACTGTCCTACGTGGCCCAGTTGCTACCCTCAGTGGCCCCCTCGTTGCCTTTTGTGGCCCCGCATTATCTGCCCTTCGTGGCCCCCGCTCGTTCGCGCTCTTCGTGGCCCCATACGCATTCCCTTCGTGTCCCCGCTGTCGCCCTTCGTGGCCTACTTCGTGTCCTTTTTGTGGCCCTGCTGTCGTTCTCTCTCGCTTTCGCTCGTCGTCGCCGTCGTCGTCGCCGGCGTCGCCGTCGACGTCGTCGTCGTCGTCGTGGTCGGTCCCCTGTCCGTCCCTCTTGGGGTCGGGTCGACGGTCCGCGGCCGCCCCGCCGCTTGCTGGGGCCCGGCCTGCAGGGAAGAAAGGTATACCCCCCAACAAGGGTTCGATCGAAGACGAAGAGGGCGGGTATCGAGGGTTTGGGAATACGCGTTATTGGACACTCGAGCTGATAAGTGCGAGCAGTCGTAAAATGATTGTTGTTGTTATTGTTGTTGTTGTTGTTGTTGTCGTTGTCGTTGTTGTCGTCGTCGTCGTCGTCATCGTCGTCGTCGTCGTTGTTGTTGTTGTTGTTGTTGTTGGTGGTGTTGTTGTTGTTGTTGGTTTGTTATTGTTGTGGTTGTCGGTGTTGTTGTTGTTGCTGCTGCTGTTGTTGTTATTGTTGTTGTTGTTGTTGATGTTGTTGTTGTTGTTGTTGTCGTTGTTGTTGTTGTTGTTGTTGTTGTTGTTGTTGTTTGTGTTGTTGGTGTTGTTGTTGTCGTTGTTGGTGATGATGTTGTTGTTGTTGCTGTTGTTGTTGTTGTCGTTGTTGGTGTTGTTGTCGTTGTCGTTGTCATTGTCGTTGTCGTTGTCGTTGTTATTGTTGTTGTTGTTGGTGGTGGTGGTGTTGGTGGTGGTGTTGTTGTTGCTGTTGCTGTTGTTATTGTTGTTGTTGTTGTTGTTGCTGTTGCTGTTGTTGTTGTTGTTGTTGTTGTTGTTGAACATTATTTCTTCTTAAGAATAATTATTGTTGGGACCCCTGGTGCACGACCCCCCCGCCGCGCCTAGGCCGCAGCCTCATTTTCATCATTTTCGTGAGGAAGTCTCAGGCAAAACGGGGGAGTCCGGATCCGGTTGTGTTGTTACGATCGGTTTTCCCTTGCAAAAAATAAGCTAAAGTGGACATTTCTTGTTCTAACATAACCAAACTTCAAGAATCCCTTGCAAAAAATAAGGTAAAGTGGACATTCGCGCGCGCAAGACGAAATCCTTCCAAAACCTTAGTTTTCGTAGCGATTTTAACATAAAAACATCAAAAAACCAATGGTTTTTCAAAAAAAAAATGTCAAATTTCATCCCGCGCGCTCTTGCGGATTCGTAGGAAACCCAACACTTTTTAAACATTTCTGTCAAACGGGCTTTTGCGAGCAACTTTTTCGAACTTCTGCGACAACGGTTGCGCACCTGCCAGGGCCATCATCCCTGTCAAATAATACCATGCGGGACACATTCGTTTTTTCTTCGCGCGCGCACGCCGTCGTCGTCGGCCGCGGGGCCCTGAATAGTAGCCACGGTCGTCCGCATGCCACGAAGTGAAGTGTCCGAACGTCATAGGGCGGGAAGCTGGGTGTGGGTGGTGGCGAAGAGTCGTTTGGAAATTTGGTAGAGCTTGAACCGGCCCCCCCACAAAGTGGGGGTATTGCCCGCCTCCTATGAAAACCCTGGCACTGGTGAGAACGGAGTGTCCCCACGTGCTAGTAATTGTTGTTGTTGTTGTTGTTGTTGTTGTTGTTGTTGTTGTTGTTGTTGTTGTTGTTGTTGTTGTTGTTGTTGAACATTATTAATTCTAAAGAATAATTATTGTTGGGCCCCCTGGTGCGCGCCCCCCCCGCCGCGCCTAGGCCGCAGCCACGTTTTCATCATTTTCGTGAGGAAGCCTCAGGTAATTCGAGGTGATCAAGATCCGGTTGTTTTGTTGTAATCCGTTTTCCCTTGCAAAAAACACTATAAAATGACATTTCTTGTTCTAATATAATCAAATTTCAAGAATCCCTTGCAAAAAATAAGGTAAAGTGGACATTCGCGCGCGCAAGACGAAATCCTTCCAAAAGCTTAGTGTTCGGAGCGATTTTAACATAAAAACATCAAAAAACCAATGGTTTTTCAACAAAAAAATGTCAAAATCTCATCCCGCGCGCTCTTGCGGATTCGTAGGAAACCCAACACTTTTTAAACATTTCTGTCAAACGGGCTTTTGCGAGCAACTTTTTCGAACTTCTGCGACAACGGTTGCGCACCTGCCAGGGCCATCATCCCTGTCAAATAATACCATGCGGGACACATTCGTTTTTTCTTCGCGCGCGCACGCCGAAATCTCCAAAAACCATTGGGTTCTGTGGGTGTGTACCCCACGCCAGTGTAGTAGCCACGGTCGTCCGCACGCCACGAAGTGAAGTGTCCCAACGTCATAGGGCGGGAAGCTGGGTTTGGGTGGTCGCGAAGAGTCGTTTGGATATTTGGTAGAGCTTGTAATGCCCCCCCACGAAGTGGGGGTATTGCCTGGTGTCGTATGAAAACCCTGGCACTGGGGAGAACACCACGCGTTCGGGTAAAATGATTGTTGTTGTTGTTGTTGTTGTTGTTGTCCGTCCCGCGCGGGGCAGCAGCCAACGCAATCTAGAGGCCACGGCCTGGTCCACCTGGCCTTGGGGGGGCACGGACGCTTGTCTGCAATGCTGGTCATTGAGAGTTTTTTTTATCCTATGGCGAAAACGGTCGTTACCCATCGGTCGTTGAAAGTAGGTACTTTCGGCTTCCCCGAACCCAGTCTACTTCAAGTGCCTTCCTACTTCAAGAACCGATGTGTGTTGGCTGTGCTTTGTTCTTCTCTGGGTTGGCCTGAACCCAATCTACTTCCTACTTCATGTTTCTACCTGCTCCTTCCGACCGGCGTGCACGGGGATGGGGAGGGGGGGCGTCTCCAGGAGCGGGCGTTGCCGCGAGTCTTAAAAAAACGCGCTCTTACCCGTCGCTCGTCCGTCCCCTCCCTGGGGTGCGTGGGGCTGCGGCCCCGGCGAGCGGCCCTCAGGTGCCCCGCCAGCGCGTGGCGGCGGCGCTCCGCGACGTGTTCGAGCAGGCGCGCGACTCGCTGGACGTCGGCGGCAGGGAGGCCGCCGGGGACACTCGGCGGGGGAGGGTCGGAGGCCGTCTGGAGGTTGGCACCAGCGCCAACGTCGGCGGTTTGCTTCACTCGAGGGGCCCGGAGATCCTGGCGTTGCCCTTTTTTTTCACAGCGGGCGTTTCCGCTCGATTTCGGGCCCCGGGGCCCTCACGGATCGACCCGGCTCGAAGAATAACGCCCAAAGATGGGGTCCGGGGGTCCAGGCGTAATTCTTTGCGGTGTTGCATTTCTCTCCCAACGTCGGATCTCAGGGGAAGAGGATCCCGATCTCGGCGATGGTGGTAATACTCGCGCTTCCCAGGTGGCCGAAACAATTCCCACCAAGACCAGAATCCAGGATCATCTTCCCCCAGTGGAGACAGCCCCCGTGTAAGTGTGGGTGCCCATCTCCAAGCCTCCAGGAGGGGGATCTCGGGAGGTGGAACAACGACGGTATCAATGAGACGCCATCGCTGGGTGCCCGCCAGCGGTGCGACTCCGTCATGCTTGTCCGAAGACGTGGTGTTTTATATGTCTGTATCATCACTAGCGCTAAGATGCAGCTCTATCACATCATCGGAGGACGGAGACGTGTCACTGGCATCGCGTACAGTCAACCCGCACACTGAGGATGGGCTACCTTCCCGAGGGTACCCCTGCATCCTTCCCCCTCGGCCCATTCTTGACCGCTTTCGTTGGCCTCGCTCCGCTTTAAAAGCCTCGACATGGCCTCTCTCGGCCCTTGCACCCTCACCATTCGTCCTTGTCATACGGGTCGACTGTAACTTGCTTGCTCTCCCAGGAGCGGGAGGAGGGGAAGCGCCGAGGGCGGCCCGGGCGGGAGCGGGGCGGCGGTCGCGGGGCCGCGGGGCGGCGTGATTAGGAGGAGCGACCGCACGCGGCGATGTCGGGGGTGGGGGGCGCCCACCGACAGCACCGCCGGCCCCTTTGCTGGGGCCGCCTTTCGGGAGCCTGGAGACGGGGGTCGATGCAAGCGACCCGGGCTTGGGCGCAGGGTCCTGCAGGATTTTGCAGGTTCTTTCGCATTGACTCGGGTTTGGGTGCAGGATCTTGCAGGATCTTGCAGGATTCTGCAAGGCCTGACTGACCCAGGTCTGGATTGACCCAGGTCAGAAGATCCCCGAGCCTTGGAACGCGCGGCGATAGCGCACGCTTCAGAGGAGGAAAGGGTACCCACACCGCAAGCCCTTCCCTCGGTTTCCCCTTTTGGGGCCTCCTGGGCGGCCCTCGTCGCCACCGCTGGATTCACCTCGAAATTTTGGTCAGAACGCCTGTGGGACCTGTGTGACCAGCGACAGTCACGTTGGTTGGCGGTCTTGAAGTTCTAGGAATGGCATTCTGGTCCTCTTCAAGGTTGTCAGGACGCAACAGTCACGCTGGTTCGCGGGCTTGAAGTCCCATGAACTGTGTTTCAACTTCACTTAGGATTCTCAGACAGTTCTCTTTCAATCGGGCACTTGCCGTTGTAAACCTATTGTTTGTATGGACCGATGAAGACGGTCCCTGGAGAGAGGGTTTATTGCAACATCGTTGATGCGTCTTGGGTTTGCACTGGTTCTCCTCTTCTTCCTCCTCCTCGTCATCATCATCGTCATCTTCATATCTTCATCGTCATCATATATCATCATCGTCGTCGGCATCATCATCAGCATCATCATTATCATCATCACCATCACTGCAATCATCATCAGCATCCTCAGCATCATCAGCATCATCAGCATCGTCATCTTCATCAGTATCATCATCAGCAGCATCAGCATCATCATCATCATCATCATCACCACCACCTTCATCATCATCATCATCATCAGCATCATCATCCTCATCCTCATCAGCATCAACATCATCATCCTCCTCAACATCATCATCATCCTCATCCTCATCAGCATCAACATCATCATCCTCCTCAACATCATCATCATCCTCATCAGCATCAGCATCAACATCATCATCCTCCTCAACATCCTCCTCATCATCATCATCCTCCTCCTCCTCCTCCTCCTCCTCCTCCTTCTCCGTCGGTCTCGGCCTGTGGGCACCCGAGTAGGTCCCCACCTTCACCACAGAGGGGAGGCTCTAGGCTTCGGGGCTGCGCGCCCGCCCCGCGCCTGCTCGCCTGCTGGGCCGCCTTCACGGACAAGGCGCTCTCCTGGAGGGAGGAGGGGGCAGGGAGGAGATGGGGGAGGGGAGGAGGAGAGGGGAGGAGGAGAGGAGGAGGGGAGGAGGAGGGAGAGGAGGGGAGGAGGGGAGGGGAGGAGGAGGGGGAGGAGAGAAGGAGGGGAGGAGGGAGCAGGGAGAGACCCGGCAGAAGGGGGAAGACGGTGTGGCGCGGCCCCCCTCCTTCCTCCCTCCCTCCCTTCCCTTCCTCTCCTCCTTCCGCCTCCTCATCTCCGCCTCCTCTTATCCTCCTCCTCCTCTCCTCTCTCTCCTCCTCCTCTCTTCCTCCTCCTCCTCCCTCCTCCTCTCCTCCTCCTCCTTCCTCTCCTCCTTCCTCCTCCTCCTCTCCTCATCCTCCTTCCTCCTCTCCTCCCTCCTCCTCCTCCTCCCCTGCATTGAGGCCTGCTCGTGGCCTTCGCCGCTTCAAACGCGCAGCGCGTCCTGCCCCCCTCCCCCTTGGCCTGCTGCGCGCCGGCGGAGGAAAGGGGGGACGTTCGAGGAGGACGGAGGGGAGCGAGGAGGACCGAGGAGGAGGAGGAGGAGGAGGAGGAGGAGGCAGCAGTGGAGGAGGAGGGGAAGGATGAGGATGGAGGAGGAGGAGGAGGAGGAGGAGGAGGAGACGAGGACGAGGAGCGGAGGACCGAGGAGGAGGAACCGAGGAGGAGAGGAGGAGGAGTAGGAGGGAGGAGGAGGGGAGGAGGAGGAGGAACAAGAGGAGGAGGGGAGGAGGAAACTGAGGAGGAGGAGGCACAAGAGGAGGATGAGGAGGAGGAGGAGGAGGAACAAGAGGAGGAGGAGGAGGAGGAGGAGGAGGAGGAGAAGGAGGGGGAGGAGGGGGAGGAGGAGAAGGGGGCAGGACCGAGGAGGAGGAGGAGTGAGGAGGGCCCAGGAGGTATTTCGGAGTGGTCGGGCCTCAAAGGAGAGGGGGGGGGGCTGGCGGGGTTTTTGGGCGCTTGGATGTTCCCGGGGAGGAAGGCGATCAAAGAGGAGGGGGGGAGGAGGGAGAAGGGACGAGGACGACGCAGCGCAGTTGGGTGTGGCAGTTTATAAAACCCTCGTGGAATGCCTTCTCAGAAAAAAAGGTATCTGCATGTTGCGATGGGACGTTTTTCCTGGGTGGCCCGAACAAGTTTTATGATAGTCCAGGAATGTGGTTGTTACGTATTGTTCGTAGTAGCCCGCGGTACGTTCCGGAGGAGGGTTGGTAATGGTGGTTGGAAGGTTTTGCCTGGGGGTGTCCAGAAATTTCCCGAACATCCTTCAGGAATGTTTACGACTGTTGTTTGGACGTTTTTGTTTCCCCAAGAGCCCGCAACACTTTCCAAACAACCTTCCTCGGGAAGTTGTGGGCATGCCTTTGGAGTTGTTGTTTTTTGTCCCCCAGGAGCCCTGGCAACCTTCCAAAACACGTTCCCCATCCATGTGTCTGATTGTGTGTTTAATGCTTGTTTCCTCAGAGTGTTCGGGGAACTGTCCAAATATCATTACTCATGACATTCCCCAGGAAGGGTCAGCAATGTTCTGTTGGAGTGCTTTTCTCCAGAAGCTTGGAAAACCTTCCAACGTTACTCGGCAATGGAGCAAACCCTTAGCAGCTCCTTGTAACGTTGGTGATGGACCTTTCTATGCACAGCCCGTGTAAGGGATGTGCCGAAATTGGGCCGGGGGCGAGAAGGGGGGCGAGCGGCTTTACGTCACCGACCCCATGCGGGGGGCGGGGGGGGGAGAAGGGGGGCGAGTGTCGGAATGCGTCTTGCGTCTTGGCATTGGTTGGTCAGCGGCATTGTTTTCGACACCCACCCCTCCGCGGGCCAACAAAAGTGTGGAATGCAATTTGCGTTGAGCATCTTATTTCCACACCCACCCACCCGCCAACCAGACCCCCCTTAGCGGCATCCGCAGTTTCGTCAGTGGTTCGTCCTTGTCGCCGCCGTCTTTCGTCGTCGTTCGTCGTCGTCGTCGTCGCCAGGTCTGGCGCGCCCCCCCACGTCCGCACGTCGTCGTCGTCGTCGTTGCCGTCGTCGTCCTCGTCGTCGTCCTCGTCGTCGTGGTCGTCGTTCGTCGTCGTTCCTCGTTCGTCGTCGTCGTCGTCGCTGGGCCTTTCGTTGCAACCACCCTCCACGGGGGGGGGGGTGCAACGACACGGTTGCAATTTCTCTGACGGTTTCGGGGGTGAGACGTGTCAACCGCTTTTTTTTCCAGGCTGAGTGATCCTTCTGTTGCCGCCCATACTCCTCAAATCCTCACAATTGTTTTGTTCTCACTCGGTTTCGGGGGGGACACGTGTCACCCGCTGCCTTCTCAGACCAAATGACCCCATGTTGGCTCCCAGAATCCGTGATTTACTAGGTGTCTTCCTCACACGCCGTCGCGGTTTCTGAGGCTGACTGACCCCATATTGGCTCCCAGACTTTCGAATTTACAATATTTTTTTCTCGCACGGTTTCGGGGGTGACGCGTGTCACCCGTTGTTTTCTTCCAGGCTGAATGACCCATTGGTTGGCCCACGGGACGCGCATTTACAATTGGTCTTTCTCACACGACTTCGGAGGAAGCACGTTTCTCCCGCTGTTTTTCTGAGAGCGACTAACCCCATCATGACCCCCAGGATCTCGAATTTACGAGTGTTGTTTTTCTCACGCAGTGTCGGGGGTGACACGTGGCACCCGCGGCATTTCTGAGGCTGCCGGACCCCATGTTGGTTCCCAGAATCCTGACTTTACATATGGTTGTTCTCGCGCAGTTTCGGGTGTGACATGTGTCACACGCTGTTTTTTTCCTAGGCCAATTCGCCCCATGCTGGCCCCCAAATGTCAACTTTACGTTTGGTTTTCATGCGGTTTCGGTGGTGACGCGTGTCACCCGCTGCAATTTGCCCCCCAGAATCCTAAAGTTTCAATTGGTTTTCTCACACGGCTTCGTGGGTGATGCGTGTCACCCGTTGCTTGCCTGAGGCTGACGGACCCCACGTTGGCTCCCAGAACCTAGACTTTCAAATTGTATGTGTCCGACGCGGTTTCGGAGGTGACACGTGTCACCCGTGGCTCTTGTTTCTCAGGCTGAATGACCCTGTTTGCTAGCTCCCAGAACGCAAATGTATCATCGGTCTTTGTCAAACGGTTTCGGGAATGACGTGTGTCACACGCTGCTTCTCCCATGCCACATTACATCATGTTGCCCTCCAGAATCCCGAATGTACGATTGTTTTTGTTCCATGCGGTTTCGGGGGTGGCACGTGTCACCCGCTGCTTTCTGAGACTGATTGGCCCCATGGTGGCTCCCAGGATCCAAAATTTACAAATGATTTTTCTCACGCGGTTTCGGGGGTGTATCACCCATTGATTTTCTCATGCCGAAAGACTCCATGCTGGCTCCGAGAGTTTCAATTTTACACAGTGGTTGTCCTCACACGGTTTCGGGGGGGGACGTATGTTACCCGTTGTTTTTTTGAGGCCACATGACCCCATGTTGTCTTCCAAATCTGAAATTTACAAGTTGTTTTTCTCACACGGCTTCGAGGATGACACGTGTCACTTGCTCCTGTTCTGAGGCTGACTGACCCCATGTCGGTTCCCAGACTCCCAAAATTATAATTGGTATTTCTCCAACACGGTTTCGGGGGTGACGCATGCCACTTACTGTTTTTCTGAAGCTGGTTGGCACCACGCTGGCTCCCAGAACCCCAAAATGTACAATTGGTATTTCTCTCACACGGTTTCGGGGGTGACGCGTGTCACCCGTTGCTTTTCTGAGGCTGATTGACACCACGTTGACTCCCAGAATCCCAACATGTACAATTGGCTGTTATCTCGCGCGGTTTCGGGGGTGACACGTGGCACCCGCTGCTCCTCGGAGGCTGACTGACCCCACGCTGGCTCCCAGAATCCAAGATGTACACTTGTCCCTCGCTCGCAGGAGGGCTCCTGAAACGCATGGGGCTCACTTCCCGGAGTTGGGCGTCGTCGTCGTCTTAATCACCCCGGGGCCGACGTGTCGCTGGGAAGGCAAGTTTAGGCAATATATCAATTACCCTTCCTGGGCAGCGGAGTTGGGGAAAGGTCCTCCTTCTCCTCCTCCTCCTCCTCCTCCTCCTCCTCCTCCTCCTCCTTCCTAACATGTCTCGTGATTGGGTTTCAGATCCCTCCTTCAGAGCCCGGATTTGACGGGAATGTGCGTGGTGCACTAGGTCGCCCCGCTTCTGGGGGACGCATGCAAACTTTCTAACCGGGGCCGTATGTGGAGCTCCCTACGGGGCGCGACACGTGTGAGGGTAAGTACGCCCAAATGCTTGGGGAAGCACATGCAGCCTTTCCCACCGGGGCCACTGCTGGATCTCGTGTGAGTGGCAGGCCGAATCGGGCGCAAGTACGCATGCAAGTTCGAATGCTTTGCGTATCTCCACCAGCCCATTTAGGAACGATCCAGGGGAGGCCTGCAGGGGCGTCCAAGAAGGCTGGGGGCCACGGATCCCTGGTGGGAGGAGGGCCATTTTTTCCCGTCTGGTCTGGAGTATACAATACAGGAATGGCAATACCTATAAGCGATATGCAAATATACACTTATACAAGTGTGAATACATATATATATATATATACATGTCAGATATTTACCAGTCGGATGAAACAGAAAGAGCGGGAGATAGTGATACATACAGACGCATGGACAGAAACATACAGAGTAGGAGGAGAAGTAAGAGGAGGAGGAGGAGGAGGAGGAATCATATAATAATTGAGCGAGCGAGAAAGAGAGAGAGAGAGACAGAGAGAGAAAGAGAGAGAGAGAGAGAGTGAGATAGGCCCTCCCTCCTTCCTCCTACTTCTTGCTCTTCCTCCTCCCCCCATCCCCCTTCCACCTTTTCCTTCTCCTCGAGGGGGGTCTTTCCTTCGCCTTCTCCACCCGTTGCTGCTGCTCCCCGCTGCCTTCTTCCGAGGTGAGCGCCCTGTTGCGCAGCATCAGCGAGCTAGGCACGCAGTCCTGGGGAAGGACAAAAGGGGAACGGGGAAGGACGAGGTGGAAAAAAAGGATGGGAGGACGAGGAGAGTGAGGAATGAGGGTGGGTGCGGGGGGGTGGACACGGCAAGGGAAGGGGATTCGACAGGGGAGTCACTTGCGGAGGCGGGGGAGAACGAGGAGGAGCAGGGGAAGCGGAAGGGGGGTTCAGAGGTTTTGCGCGTTTTCAGTCTTTCGTGTGGACTCTTTAGGTTTCTGGGGTCCTTGAGGGGGGCGGAGGAGGAGGAGGAGGGCGGGAGGATGTTGACGAAGATGAGGAGGACAAAGACGATGAGGAGGAGGAGGAGGAGGAGGAGAGGAGGAGGAGGAGGAGGGCGGGACGATGTGGACGACTATGAGGAGGACGAAGACGTGGAGGAGGAGGAGGAGGAGGAGGAGGAGGAGGAGGAGGAGGAGGAGGGGCAGGAGCAGGAGCAGGAGCAGGAGGAGGAGGAGCAGGAGCAGGAGCAGAGAGGGAGGTGCACAGGGGTGGGAGACGGAGAACATACAGCCCCTTACGAACCGCAAACTATTCAGAAGGAGCTCTTCGACATTGTATGACTCCTCGCAGCGATTAGTGCGCGGGCTCTCGGGGGCTCAAGTCCTCACGGTTGGGGCGCACGCCTGCGTCGATAATATCATTCTTCTTTGGTCCCCCTTCTTCCCTTCCCCCTCCTCTTGTCCTCGTGGGCGGAAAGCATATCCGGATCCACGAGCGTGTTTCTTTATTGCCTGGGGCATAATGGCCATTATAGCCCCCAGCCCCCCCCCCTCCTCCCACCCTGTAACGTGACGCCCCTCCCCCACCCAGTGTGCTCCGGGCACTGCCGCCGTGCGCACGGCACTGCCGCTGCGCCCACGAGGAAATTGTCCTCGTGGACGGAAAGCATATCTGGATCCACGACCTCGCGGGCTGGGCTCCCGGGCCGCGGCCACGTCAACACGGGGCGTTTTGTTCACGGATGCCCCGCGCCGGACGCACCCCATGCGACCAGCACCCGCGGGATCGCGCCCCTGAATCCAGACCGCGAGCGCGTGGATGTGAAAACGTTTGCCGCTCGTGACTTCCCTCTGTCGCCTGCTCCTCCTCCTGCTCCTCCTCCTCCTCCTCCTCCTCCTCCTCCTCCTCCAGTGGAGGGCCCCTGGCCTGGCCGCCCGCCCCCCCCCCCAGCGCCAGGCGCCTCGGCGTCGACCGCGACGCTGCAGCGCGCGGTGCAGGGGTTCCTCGCGTGCCGCCCGCCCTTCCCCGCCGGGCGGGGAGGGGAGGGCCTACGAAGAGAACGTCTTGGGACCGCCTGCGAGCGACGGGGGGGGGGGAGGAGGGAGGAGGAGGAGGAGGACGATGAGGAGGACGAGGACGAGGACGAGGGGGGAGGAGGAGGAGGAGGAGGAGGAGGAGGAGGAGGAGGAGAGCAGGAGGAGAGTAGGAGGAGGAGAAGGAGGAGGAGAAGGAGGAGGAGGGGAGGAGGTTGAGGAGGAGGGAGGAGGAGGAGGAGGAGGAGGAGGAGGAGGAGGAGGAGGAGGAGGAGGAGGAGGAGGAGTGGGGGGATTGGGAGTGCGACGGAGGGGAGGATGTGGATCAGGATGAGGATGAGGAGGATGATGATGATGAGGAGGAGGAGGAGGAGGAGGCTGAGGGGGGAGGAGGATGATTAGGAGGTGGACCAGTGCAAACTTACCGAAGACTCATTAACGATGTTTGGATAAACCCTCCCCCCGAGCTCCCTCGTCCCATGTCCCTACAAGGATTCATTTACACTGAGGGAAGTGCCCCGTTGGGAGACCACCGTTTTAAGATCCTGAAGCGTGCCGCTGCTAACATATTATTCTCGGGACTTCAACGTCACGAGGCAACTTGACTGTTGCGCCTTGAAAATCTTGGATCGTGCCACAACACCATTCCTGGGACTCCAACATCATGAATCAGCGTAACTGATGCTCTCTGACAGCCCTGAATCCCTTCAGAACACCATTTCTCGTACGTTAACCATGGCAACCAATGAAACTCCGGCAAATGTTCGAGACGAATGTGCGCGGCGCTCAGGCGAGAGCCACATTTTGAAAGGAACCGCCCTCCAACCGTGAAGCCCGTGCAATTGTTTAAGGCGAATGCGCGCGGCGCCAAGGCGATAACAACAGTTTGAAAAACACCTGCCCTCCATCCGTGACACTCTCGCCACTGTTTAAGACGAGTGTGCGTGGCGCTAAGGCGAGAGCAACATTATGAGAACCATCCGTCTTCCACCCGTGAAGTTATTGCACATGTTTGCGACGAGTGTGCGCGGCGCGTAGGCGAGAGCTACATTTTGACCCCCCCCTCCATCTGTGAAACCCTTGCGAATTCTGGGACGAATGCGCACGGCGCTAATGCGAGAGCCACAGTTTGGAAGCGGCCGCCTTCCATGTGTGAAACTGTTGCCACATGTCAAAGCTACAGGTTCATAGATGGTGAGGAAGTCTCAGGCGAAACGCCCGGCCCGCCCCTCCAAATGTCCTCGGTGGCAGGGATGATTTATTTAAAGGACAGGGAATGGAGGAGGAGGAGGAGGAGGACGAGGAATAGGAGGACGAGGAGTTGCGCAATGTGATCACATGGACGGCAGATGAAGAACGAGAATTTCTGGGTCTTCAAGGACGTGCTCTTATTGATGAGCAGAAGCGTCTTCTACACAATCGAGAGGCCCGTCAGCAAGGATACCATGTGCTTGGCCCGCTCACTGGAGCCAAGCGTGACCAAGACCCGCACCTGCTCTGCGTACAGTGCAAGTTCACTGCATCGGGGATTGGTCGCTTCAGCACATGGCCACGACTACTATGCACACCAGGGGTCCTGCCGTCAGGACCGCATCAGTGTGGACAAAAGCGTACACCAGAGGACTACGACAAACTTATCTTGGAACACAACATACGCACGGAGAAGCCAGGCAACCGATGCCACGTCCTACTCTCCTTTCGACCAGCACGAGTTGGCCAGGAGCTCGAGTGCATGAAGTGTTCCAAAAAGTCAGCCAAACGGAAGTATTTCGAGTTTTGTGCAGCCATCTGCACTGGACGATAGCTCATCACACATACACAGAGTGATGGCATAATCTTATACTTACTGCAGCCTCGTGAATACGACGCAGGGTGTGGACAAATATGAATATTATCCTGGAAAAAAGTGGGCCGTGGAAGGCTCGACCGCTACAGAGTACGGACCTCGAGGAAGCCCCGAATGCGTGGGAACACCTCAGGCCATGTTGCCATGTTTTGCTGGCAGAACGCAAGTCCAGGGGAAGCCCCGAATGCGTGGGAACACCCCTGGCTCACGTTGCCATGTTTTGCTGTTATTGCATCGACATCGGGACTTTCACGGTGTTCGAGACCTTGAATGCTACCTCCCTGCTCGGCGACCTGGTGGAGCAGGGTACTTACTTGGTGGATATACGATGCTACCGCGGACGAGTGCCAAGGTAGATACATGGACCATGTGTGGGAGGACGAGGAGTTGATGCCCGCGTAGGAGGAGGCGGATGAGGAGGAGGAGGGGGACCAGCGTAAACCCTGTACCCATCAATGATATTGCAATTAGCCCTTCCTCCAGGTTCTCTTTTATTAGGGCCCTCCAAGGATTCATTTTTACTGAAGGCAGTGGCCCGTTGGAAAACAACCACATGAACATTTTGAACTGTGCCAGAACACCCATTCTGGGATTTCAACGCTGCGAATCACCGTTACTGTTGCGTCTTGGCGATCCTAAGCCGTGCCAGAAAACCATTCCTAGGATTGCAGAACCACGACTATACGCAACTTCTGCGCCCTGACAGCCCGACATCGTACCAAAACACCATGCGAATCTTTGAAATCGCTGTAAACTAGAAACGAATGTGCGCGGCGCTAAGGCGAGAGCCACATTTTGAAAAGGAACCGCCGTCCATCCGTGAACATATTGCAATGTGCGCGGTGCTAAGGCGAGAGCCACATTTTGAAATGGAACCGCTCTCAATCCGTGAAGCCCTTGCAATTGTTGAAGACGATTGTGCGCGGCCCTCGGGCGAGAGCCGCCTTTTGAAACCCCCCGTCTTCTTCCATCCGTGAAACCCTTGTAAATGTTTCAGACGAGTGTGCGCGGCGCTGAGGCGAGAGCAACTTTTTGACAACCACCCATCCGTGAAACCCTGGCAACTGTTGGACGATGGACAAATGCGCACGGCGCTAAGGCGAGAGCAACATTATGAAAACCACCCGTCTTCCATCCGTGAAGTTCTTGCACATGTTTAAGACGAATGTGCGCGGTGCTAAGACGAGAGCCACATTTTGGAAACCACCGGCCCTCCATGCATGAAACCCTTGCAACCGTCCGAGACGAACGTGCGCGGCGCTACGGCGAGAGCCACATTTTGGAAGCGGGCCGCCCTCCATTCGTGAAATTGCTCTTAATTCGAAGCTTCAGCATCAGAAGTGATAAGGAAGTCTCAGGTGGAATGCCCAGCCCGCCCTTTCGACCGGCCTCGGGGCGCGACAGGGAGGATTTATTGAAGGAATGGAGGATGGGGGAAGGGGAGGAGGTGAGGCTTGAGGAGGGCGACGGGGGTGACCGAAAAGGAGGAGGAAGAGGAGGAGTAGGAAGAGGGTGAGGAAGAGATGAGGGGGGGAAGGAGGGGGAATGGAACGGCGACGGAGTGGAGGAGGAGGAGGAGGAGGAGGAGGAGGAGCAGGAGGAGCAGGAGCAGGAGCAGGAGCAGGAGCAGGAACAGGAGCAGGAGCAGGAGCAGGAGCAGGAGCAGGAGCAGGAGCAGGAGTCGGCGGCGGAGGCGGCGGCGGACGCGGAGGCGGCGGCGGAGGCGGAGGCGGAGGCGGAGGCGGAGGCGGAGGAGGAGGAGGAGGAGGAGGAGGAGGAGGAGGGGAGGAGGAGGAGAGGAGGAGGAGGAGGAGGAGGAGCGGGAGCGGGAGCGGGAGCGGGAGC